ACATGACCGCAGCAAAAAGCAGCTTTCCACGGGCCGGGGCGCCCCATTGTGTGGGGGGTAGGTACCGAACGGGTCGACTCCAGGTATGTGTAGAATGTTGATGAATATACCACCCATTTGGAGTGTAAAATCGTTTACATATTGATGTGATTGTTTGATCAAGTTGTACATTAAGGACCCTTGTCTCCCGACCACCTCGCGAATTCGAGATGGAGTGTGAAGCGCTTCCTTTCAAACTCTCAAATGCGCAGAACTCTCCAGAACAGGCTACCACCAAATGTTCTGTTCTGTTCTTTTCTGTACCATATATCAATTGCTTGAAACTGGCCTTCTCATGGCCGCGATCTCCGCGTACCATGCGTCTCGCGCCTCTCGCACCGCCGCCCACCACCCTCGGTCCAAACGACCGCCGTTCGCTTCGCCGCACGGGCACTGGCTCCCACGAGGCGAAAGAGGTGCGTCCCAGTATAGTCGTGCGGCACCTGGCGGCCGCGTCGAGACCGCGGGCCGATCGACGGCGGAGCACGCGGAGCGGAGCATCCCAAAGGGAGAGGGAGCGTAGGCGAGCGAAGGCGAAACCGCGTACAGGTAGCGGAACGTCATGAGGTATAGCTGGTTCTTCAGTTCGTGACCGAACTTGATCACCTGGTTGGTTCGGTCGCTGCCTCAAGCCTCCTGTTTGGGTCACTTAGGAACCTTCAAAAGGTCACGAACTGAAGAAGCTGGTAGCGTCCGGGCATTTCGCGAATGATATGAACACGACGGCCATCTCCACAGAAGTCTCGTGGCTTGTTTCTGCTCTCTCTTCTTGTGCTTTCTCTGAGGAAATAAGACCCCGCATGACATGGAGATGCAAAATGACGTGAAACCCAGCACCCCATCCTATGATGCTAGTACCAACGTTAACTACTTTCTGCTTCAACGATCCTCGAGCTGTCTAGTTCATCAACTTCAAAATGACAGGCTTACGAACGAAGTTCACGCTTTCTACATTCAAAATCATGAAAACCACAGGTTTAGATCCGCTGGCACAATCAACCCCTCCCTCTGCTTCTTGACTCTTTAAAGAACAAACAAAACGAGCAGCTGGTTTCCTCGGAACAGAATCAATCAAGACCCTTGGTTGCTTTTCTCTTGTAGGTTGGACACCATCGCTAGTAGGTTGGAGGCCATCGCTAGCAGGTTGGAGAGCTGGTTACCTTTGTTCACTTCGTCTCGCACTCTGTTCTGCGTGGCGGCCTGGATACCAATCAACAGTAGCAACACACACAGGCCATGGAGCACCTGAACAAGGCGGTCTGGTCTGTGGGGGTCCAAGGAGGTCAAGCTATCCGGCTGAGTGAAGTGAAGGCTCCTTGTTTGGAGTTGCCAACATGTAAACCATGTACACCATCTACAAAACTGGATATGTTGGTTTTATCAAGATGCTTTCATGATAGAATGGCCATGTTGATCCCGGGAAAATACCATGCATTCTTCTATAGATCAACAAATCTGCATGGAATGTTTTTGTTTCCTGAACTGTTTCTGAAACACTCCGCGTTTTCCTGTTGGAGCAGAGCGGAGTGTGGAGATGCTGGACTCACATTGTTTCACATGTTGTTCTTCCACCAGGTGCACGTCCAACACGCACAAAAGAAGCAACTCCGCCTCATGGTTTCAAAACATGACCACGACTTTAAGTCAAGAAACATCGAACAGATGGAAAACAAAAAAAGAGAACATGGATTCCAAGACAAAGCTATCATGCTTTGAGGTTCACGAGTTCCCGGATCACGAGTTCTGCTTGCTTTGCATCGTATTCCGTCAAAGCAGTGACCAAAAGCAAAGAAAGGCCTGGGTGTAGAGCACCATGACCAAAAACACCGGCACCTGAGAGCTCTGTTGCGATCGCGAGGTTTCAGTCAAGAGGTCGATTGAACGCTCCTGTCCGTCACACATGACCGACCAATCAGCAAAAGGGTACGGACTGTTTATGACCAGTTGCTGTCTGTAATAGACTTGCCAATTGCCCAAGTACACAAACGACATCGCCAAAAGGATCACGTTCTTGTGAATGCGAGTTTTGTGAAAACCAAGACGTGAGGTCGACCAAACCCACGAGGCGCTGACGCAAATCGGTCGGCACTGCGGCGGCTTGTGCCTTGAGAGCTGCAAAAAAGCATGTTTTCCAAGGAAAAAGGGAACCTCTCATGAGGCTCTTTGGCTTTCCGGGGAGGAAAAGAAGAAACACGGAAGATGATCAGAAATGAATTGGATCTATGCGAGTAACAGTGGATGATGATGACGACGGTTAGGTTACAGGACGTTCTCTATATACTGTATAGTGATGTTCTTGCTTACTGACTGTTACAGGTCATAGGACGGAACCAAGAAAAGACATATATGCAAAAAAACAATTGCACAAACCAAGAAAATTTCATTTACATGGGGATCCATATATACAACCTTTTGAATTGGGGATTGTGCCATCTACTCTGAAAACACTGTAATTAATGTTGCATTGTGTTGTCTTTGCACTATGACGTTTCCTCCCGCAGACGGCTATAGACTAACGGATATATACTTTGAACATAGTTTTCTAACACGTTTTCACCCTAATTAGACTTGAACAAATGCACTTAGAACATTGAGGCTTATAACAAGAAAGCCAGCTCACTATAGAGATTATAGAATGTTCAAAGCATGTCAACACAAAACACGTTTTTGTTCAAAGCCAGCGCTGAAGCCAGTGTTCTTAGCATTATAGCCAGAATATATTTTCAGACTATGTTCTAAGTGCACACTTAGAATGTTGGCATATCTGTGGCTCATCTTGTTTCTTTTTCAAAAAAAATAATCATGTTCTAAGTGGGTGTCCGTCACTGTACAGCAAGAGCTTGGCTTTCAACCCTGGCATCACGACTCCCCTTCTGACCTGCATCTCATGCAAGATTCCATATATCGATACTGGACTATGGTGACTATGACTCAATCAATGAGCCCCCGCCGTTCCCCTTCCACAGACTATAGCTCCGTCGTTCTTCTTATGCAACGGGCACAGCCTTCCGCACGACGGGCGCACGAGTTCCTTCGTACGATGGCCGTGGTGCGGCGGACTTTCCACCGAGAAGGAACTGACCATGGTCTCCTCCTGAGTTCGGATGCACAGCAGTCAACAGGAAGAAGTTTGACCCATGATATCATGATTTTTGAAGATCAGTGAAGATCAATCATGTTTCTCCTGGGTCAGCCCAAAGAAGACCTGGCAGTTTCTGTTTGAAGGATTTGAAGAATTCTGCCTCGTGCAGGAAAAACTCGAGAGGTGATGAATCACGCATTGAAGGAGAGGCCAAGTCTCCTCGGAGGTCATCCGTTCCACCGGCTGGCACGGCTAGTGGAAGAGTATCCTGGTGAAGGGCAGGTCATTTGCAGTCTCAGCCAGCTCATCCCTACATCTACAAAGTTTCCAGTACTTGGGCTCAGGCGTGTATAGTTGGTGCGACGAGGAAAGGATTCTGAGAACGAGACGAAGAGTGTACGGGAGAGAAAAAGTTATGCTTAGGATATTTTAGGATGTAGAGTAGCTATGCCTCAGAAGCTGACTAGTGGAGCTAACTCGCACACCAGCTATGTTTGAGCTCTTTTTCAACAGGTGCAATCACCCTAATATGTGAGAGCAGAAAAGGCAGGAAACCTGCGGGCTTCACATGCTGCAAAGCACCGCTTCGGGGGGGCTTCACATGCTCCACGTGAAAGTGCCGCTACCCGCACCGCGATCGAAGCTTTCTGAGGGAGAACGTGGATCGCCCGAAGAACCGTGGTCACCCTTACTGGAAAGCCCAAGAACCAGAAACGAATCCCAACAAAAACGTCCATGTCAGGAATATTTACCACCCTAAGGATCATCGGACCCTCCGAACTGGAGGGTTTTGACCCTGCAGAACGCAGGGGTTTGGACCCGAACCAAACCTTCACCTTTGAGGGTCCTTGATCCTTAGGGCACTCCAAAGCACCCCACAAATCGCCCCAACTGATCGGCAAATATACCATTCTCTACTGTCTGGGTGTCTAGGTCACCGGACGAACACCGATAGACGGGAGGGTCCAGGTGGAAACAACTCTACGCAGTGACCCGAGTGGCAAATGCCCGGGCTCACCCGGCTACAACTTGGATGCACAGCTCACGGCCAGCCTGGGTATGCCAATCGCCAAGCAGAGTGGCCAATGCGTCAAGTCAATTCGAATTGCATGGCTAAGAATTGCATGGCCTGACGTCATGGCACTCTGTGACTCTGTTTTTTTATGTCGTACAAAGACATGCTCACAACAACGACTGTTCCAATGTCCGTGAGAACTCTTGCGAGGTCGTTCGAGCCCGGCTTCGGGATGACCGTGACTCATGCCGCTCGAGGGGCAGGGGGGAACGGGTCGCTTGTTCAGGTGGGGCCTCGACGAGCGAAGGTATGAACAAATAGACTCCAGGGTTTTAAATGGTCAATGGGGTGGAAACTTGACCTCTTTACCAGCAACATGTCGATGGATGATGGGAATTCCAAGGATGCAGGAGAAGGTGAAGGCCCACACCACAAATTAAGTCCAATAAACAGAACCAGGAACTTCATCTCCCTAGGGCTCCAAGTACCTTCTGAGAAGGTACTTGGACCCTCCAAACCTACATAGCAGTGTCTCCAATCACCTGCTGAGAAGGTACGACTGGATCCCTAGGGTCTATGAGTGTCGGCCAAAAACTGTAAAACCAAAGACCATCAAGTCTTCACGTCTAAAGGAAGCCCCGTGTCCCCTCTGAGCCATCTTCACTCCTTTCACAAAATTGTCATCGCTGGTTTTGACATTGCTTATATCGTTAGCCGCTATTAGGTCTCGCCATTCTAACCTGCTTTAGCCCCCCAAAACCAATTATACAGATATGCACAATCCAGCCCCTGTCTCTCTCCTTTGATCTGGAAACTCCTGTCAACTCCGGTCACAAGCACCTCTCAGCAACCTTCCCGATGTGCCTCCATGGGACACCAAGATGGCTCGATGCAAAAGCCCTTCTGGGAGCATCTCAGTCGCATCTCGGACCACTCAGAGAACCCTAAAGATCTGGACCCGACTGGCCGGCACCTACATGTCGCGGTGTCGAACACATCACCGTACCTGAGGTTAGGTATACTTACTGGGATCCCTAGGGGAAGATCACATCCCCTAAGGGTCCAGGACCATCCAAATCGGATGTCCTTTGACCCCCCGTTCGACCATTCTCAGGAAGTACTTTCACCTCCAAGACCATCCGACAAGGAGGTACCTGGACCATCCTGGACCCTATGGGATCGTCACAGCAGATACCGGTTCGTACCTGGAGTCGACCTGTTCGCACCTCTGAGAGGAGTACAGTACTCTGCTGAAACCGTTCGCGTCATGTCCGTATTTCAGATGTGATCGATGCCCAGACACGACGAGTCTGGGACTGCCAGTCCGGACTGCCGCCCCAGACAGACCCCCCAAGACCACCACCACCACCCTTGGCCGGAACTCTCGGCAGTCCGGACTGGCAGCTCCCAGTCCGATTAGTCGTGTCTGGGTATGTGAGAGGGGCATCTTGACCGATCACTTGGGGATTGACCGATCGGAGTCCAAGACTAGTCTAGACCGATGCTGCCTGTCGGACTCGATGTCCGATACTCCGATGATCTGAACGAACATGAGAGATGACCAAATGACCAAAAATACTAGACACCAGACTCACATAGACTCTTGATGAATAACACCTCCCGATTTGGATGCAAGAAGCTCGGCCTAGGGGAGTTTATGGAGTCAATAGCCACTTGTCCACTGTCGCAGGCCATCGCTCTTAGGTTGGATGGCTCTTAGGTTGGAGGCCATGGCTCTTAGGTTGGAGGCCATCGCTCTTAGGTTGGAGGCCATCGCTAGTAGGTAGGAGGCCTATTAGGTTTTAAAGGTACTTTGTACTTTTGAGATACTATTTCCAGTTCCTGTTCAGTCTCATGAAGTCAAAAGACTCTTCAGCGACGTCACAAAAAAAGGTCACATATGGGTCACATGGCTTCACCGCTACAGGAACCGTACATATGGCCCAGGTAGACAGCAGTTAGGTGTTGAATGGTTTTTGATCCAAATATAAGTAATTGACCATAACTTACTTATTAAACCTATATACTGAAAAATGTGGTTTTGTTGCTTTTGAATTAACATCGCCTATTAAATTGCCTGTGTTCGGTCGCCAGGAGATTTTTGGGTTTACCATTGACTCGTAGTTCACGATTGTGATGTGAACATATCTCAATTCAGGCTCGAAGTCGCAGTACTGTAAGGAGGGCTCGACGGCGAGCTGTCCTCTGCAGCGGACTGCCCTCGTCAGCTCTCGCCAAGCTCAAGACGTATCGGCGGTGTCACTCGCTCCGTCTGAGGCCGAGCGCTTACCATCAAACTGGGAATGGCAGTCCTGGAGCACGTGGCGGACATGTTTTCAAGACGACTCTGCGACCGAGGAGCCCCGATGTCTGTGCTCTTAAGCGCACGGAATTCTGAAGGTCAATATACCAAGGCTCATGACCACGAACAGGGTTCTCAAAAGAAATGCGTTTTTTGGAGAAAGGAACACAAAATTTTGCAGGGCAAACATGTCAATGTTGAATTATATGTTGATACTGGTGCCTTAGGTACCGCACCAACTGTTGCGACCCTCCAAAGGCCAAAAATCACATGAACTGACTCAACCTAGACCCGATGTCGTTCGAGCCAGAACGGACGTGACCCGAAGTCCTGGAGCGGTTTCGATCTCCAGTTGCAGCGAGCTCTGTTGGTTTCGTGGATCGAAACCGGTTCCGCAAGCGTCGAACGGCCTATCCTGTTCATGTGGAGCTCCTGGCCCACATCCTCAGAAGCTAGTTGGACCGGCACCCCACCCCAAGCAGCGATACGGAGGTGGGCCAGGAGCCCAAATCGCCCAAACAAGGTGACAAGGTTGTTCACGTGTTCTTTTTCGCTTTTCCTGGGTATGTGGTCGATGAGACATGATCAATGCGACCCCAGTTGCAGTGGATCAGAGGTAAAGAACTGATCACCATCGACTTGATCACCAGCAACCTACTCCTCTCACCCAGTCTCCAAAAACTGTCAGCCCCCAAATAAGATCCCAAATATGCGCCAGAAATGATTCATGAATCCCAAACTGGAGTCATCCAACAAAAATTCGGTGGAACCCCCGTTCTTCAACCATCCCAAGAACCGCACCTCCCGTCCCACCTCCACCTCCACGCATGGCTTCCTTCACGCGCACGTCCGAACCACGTCGGAGAGACCGCCAGGGACCGCACCTCATCGCCCTCGCAAGGCATCTCCTGGTCCTCGCACACGCCGCGCCTGAGTTCCGCTCGGGAGATCATTCCGTATCTCCGTACTTCGGAGGAAAGAATCGGAAAGGTGAGCACGTTTTGCCAAAAAAAACACACACCCGCTTCCAAGGTATGTTTTTGAACCGTGCGTTGTTTGCAAGAACGTCTATCCGGAAAAACACGGATAAGATTGTTTGTTTTTTTGGTGTGAAATCCACTGCCCCTCGATTGACTCGTGGTCGGGTTTTAATATTGATGCTTTGTGAGGCCAATTTTTATGGCAAGTCATGCCTCTTCCACCGCACAAACACCAACGGCACAGGGAATTCAGGGAGTTTGTGTGTCTCTTGGAAACCAGGAAGACTTAAATTAGACTTCGCTTGGACTTAGGTCAGACTTAGGTCGGATTTACTAAGTCCGAACTAAGCTCAAAAACATATCACGTTTGCTTTTGGGTGACCACACGTTTGCGCTTTCAGATCGTTTGTCAAACAAGTCAAATTCAGGGTACATCTTTAGTTCGGACCAAACATGCCCATGTAAGTTATTAAGTTGGAACGTACATGTCACATTCGCTTTAGAACAAGATTTGCCAGACTATGTTTGTGACAGATTAAGTGATTACAAGCTTTATGACAAATTCCCCTTTTACATTGTAATTGTTAAAAGGGGATATCTGAGGTCCCTCTTACTTTTGATGTCAAGCTGGCATTTTGTGTCAGAAACTTTTCTGACAAAGATCCTTTGCAGTCTTATTAAAGGACTTATTATATATATTTGTCAGAATATGTTCTGACAAATTTTCTTGTGATATAATTCAGTCAGATTTGTTGCTAACAATTTAACAATAATTCTTAGAGTGTATATACAACCATCTTCATGAATCTTCTGTGTGAAACAATTTGTTTCTCACAAATTAACTGGGCCGTAGCTTGGACTTGCGAAGTCTAACCTACATCTATCTTAACCTTATTTGACTTGACATCGACTTAGCCAAGTGGGACCTAACCACTTAATAACCTCTATAGAGTTAGCCAAGTTCAAGCTAAGTCGAAGCTAACCTCCGTAGAGGTTAGCAGAATTAGAGCAAGGGTTACTAGTAGGTTAGCAGACTTACAACATCGATCATAAGTCGAACTTAGCGAACTTCTCGGCAACTATTAATACAACTTATATCCTTATGTTCCGAGGTACATTGGAGGGTCCAAGAAAATATAAGCTACCAACCACTTTACACTACAACACCAGGTCAACAAAGTGTCTTTTTCAGATAAAAGGAAGGCGAACGGGAGGCGGCTCTCGGTAAACTTGGTGAAACCAGCGTTGTTTTTCTGACCAACCGGGCAGGATATGAACAAATGAAATTCTCACTTCCCGGCATCAACGTGACATCCCTTGACCCTGCTCGGCCCCTGGCTGTCTTCACATCCCTGCCTTGTATGGGTTCTGACGACCACCTAACCTTGAGAACGAAAGGCTAATTAATTAGCTACTTAAACAATGGTTTGACTGGGGTACCTGAGTTCAGAAACTTCCTTTACGGCGTTTTCCTGGACCCGACTTTGTTTGTACCTTTCAAAATGGGACGACCCGAACAAAAAACGATTAAACAACTGGTCCATACTTGTGCAACTTGTCACCCTTTTCCGAGGTACAAACTCAGACTCAGGTACCTTGCCGTCGTAGAATTCTTGTTCCACCCTGTTCTTGCTTGGTGGGGGACACCTCTCCAATCCCCAAGAAAGGTTTTGCAGGTTATCCACTGACTACCTGGAAACCCAAACAACCAGAAACAATGATTGTGCCAATACCTGGACCCTCCAAGGGGTGTCCAATGGACTACCCCACACTACCTATAGGCTTCCATTGGACACCCCTTGGAGGGTCCAGGTATATAATGTGCAATATGGCTTTCTTGCGATTGGTTTCTTTACAACGATTTGGGAAAGCCTCCGCACTGGTCGAAGTCGTTTGGGTTTGTCACCAGGTAGGTAGGAAATACCTGGATCTTCCAACTGTGCAACATTTCTGCCCTGAAATGGCTGGTGTTATTGATGAAATGCAGAAATTCTTCACAGTTGGAAGATCTAGGTCTATGACCTCCGGACTTCTAAACAGCCTAACAGTCTCAACCGGCTAACCCCGCGTCTTTCCGCGCTCAGTCAGCTCCACGCGTCCAAGTGGCTTTTGACGGCTCAGCGACTGTCGAGTCGTCACCTGCAGGTCTGGGCCCGGCGACACGCGGTGCCCGAGCGGATGGGGCGGATCGGGCCGCGGCTCTGCACACGTCCGGACGAGCTGAGCTTTCGGCAAAGACGTTCCCGTTCTCCAGGCCAGGCGTGGTGATTTCCTACACAAAAGTGACATGCGAACTCGGAGCAACCAGGTAAGAATCCTACCCGTCATGTCGAAACTGAATTATGTTCAAAAGGCAATCTTGGTTGCACTGGCCTCAAAACCAGAATGTATCGATATGTTTACTTCAAAATATATTGAAAAACAATAGAACGTGCTCCTGACATGTACTGACATGTAGAAGCAACACAGCCAATGCACGATTCAATTCTGAAATCCCTGTAGAGCGTACTAAACATGGCCAAGGCCGTTTAGTTCTAATGTCTAAAGTTTCTACTGTTCAGTTATGTCCCCAAAATGGCAGCGGTTGTGCG